ACGGTGCAGAGCTCTTCCGGTGCCCTGCCACCGCGCCGGGCCCGGCCTGCTGCCGGCAGCGAGCGTAACGTGTTTGGAGGTGGGGATTACGGACTGTTCTTTCCCTTCGACTCAGCGCTGCTAGTCGAAACCGTATTTCCTGCCGTCGTTGTTTCCACCTGCAGTGCGAGACTAGGAGACCTTTGCTGAACCAGTGCTTCGCAGTGCTGGTCTTCATTGCTTTCCTCTGCTTTAGTTTGTTGTGGTCTGTGCGATAAACGCTAATTGCAGTTTTCACACTTGTGAGTAGAGGCCTTCGTTAGAGTAATTGGTTTTTAAAGCTCTCCCATTTCCACCAAGGAGAGTTCAGAGGTTAAAAGCTGTGTATTCCCAAGTAGAGGGGGGAAGAAACGCATCTGGGGCTTTGCTTCTGCCAAGAATTCTTACAAATCAAGTAAGATGCATAACTTGATCCACTTGAGATTTGCTTTCTCAGAGTTTAATACATCAGTATTTCAGATATTGCAGTCATCTGGCAAGACAGATGCCTGCTAAGGATAGCAATTTAATAACTTATGCCCTCTATAAAAATTGATAATAATTGTTTTCTCTTTTAACTAGAATGTCTTCTGAGAATTCAGACTTCTAAGCATCTGCAAGTTTGGAAAATGTATATTTTTTGGTTTGGAAAAATGTATATTGTTATTTTTATATTCATCAAGTATAAAATATAGAAATATGTCCTCCTCACCTGCCAGTGCAGGAATTGGAAGTATACATTTGTTTGTTTTATCCTCTGAAGTACATTTAGTACATAGCCTACAATAGACTTACTTGAATCAAGTTAGTTGGTATTAACCAGCAATGGCTTTAGGTTTAAATGTACCTAATAATGCTGAAAAAAAGAAATATTTGTGTATTCCACTTACCGAGGTCTTATCTGAAAATTAGTTTTTGAAAAGCAAGATTAAGTAAGTTATTTTATCCTTAGTGGAAAAAAAAAATTAGCTATTTTAGAGAATTTAGTGTCTTGTCAGGGTTGAAAAATGCAATATCCAATTGTCCTTAATTCTTATAGGAAAAGCCTTTTGTATCATAATCCTTTAGACATGAGGCATATCAAACACATTCTCCACAGAACATAAGAGAATCCTCAAGAACATTAATAGGACATTTATGCTATTCTTATGCTCTTTCTGAAGAACTTTTTAAAATCAGTTGCTGATGAAAACAAAATGTGAACTCTGGTGTGTCATGCTTTGGTCTTATAGAATTCCAGTTATTTCAAAAGACAGACTAACTTTGGGCACTCAATGGAAAAAATTCCATTCATAAAACAAAAAAACAGACACTAATGTAGAAAAATTTGAGATTTGAGTTAAAAAAATTGAAGAAACACCATTTCTGATGTGAAGTGTTCCACAGTGTGACATTTTAAAGTTAGAAAATAAATTTTATAAAATTACAGAGTCCAGTGAGGTATACTCTTCTATTTAAATAGGCATTTAATGGTAAAGTTCATAGGCTTTTATATGAAGCAGGTATTTTTAAAACTCCAGTCATGTCTATATTTTAGCCCTTCTGCTGCAGTTTCCTGTCATCTCTGTGTAATTCATGCAGATCAGAAGAGCTGCACAAAGCACAAGAAAGATCTTTAACTGACTTATATTATAGAAATTTTAGTTAAAAGTTTAGATAACCTAGTAATTTGGGATTAGGTTAGTTGTAGTCCTTGAAATACAAGATTTATGTTTTGACCTTAGAAATCCGTTAAATACCAGTTTTTCAATTTCTAGATAATTTGCAAAAGCCAGAACTATATTTGCTGTGTGCTCAAAATAAAATACACCCCTTCTTCTGCAGCTGAGGTATTTATAACATTGTTGCCTCCACATCCAGTACTCCTACTGCCTCTATGAACTCTGCTCTTAAATCTGAAAAGCTGGAGCATTCTTAACAATAGGCTGAGACCAATTTCTAAATTATTGTTGAGAAATAATTGTTCAGTTATTCGTTTCTATCTTGAATCAAATATAAAATTTTTCCTTAAAACAAGGTTACCAGTCTGAGTATAGCCCAGCATGTAATTTGTACTAGGAATACTTACACCATTAGACAATACTATGCTCTATGCAAGATCTTTAAACTACTGTACCTAAAATTTAATATAGGGAAATGTGTTATGTAATTGCTTTAAATATATTCATTTAGTTCAGGAAAACTAAAGCATTACAGTCAAGGGGATTTCTCTGCAAAAATGCCCCAAGCAATGGCTTTTTAGAGTATTTTAAGGGCCTACTAAGTTCTCATTATTCTGTGTTAAGCTTTTTCACTAAAGCTGCTGTATTCGTATTTCTGTATGTAGGATAAATCTGTGCATTTCAATCTCTTATCGTTAGACTGTGTGATACTATTTGCATTTATTTTATTGAAAATATCATTCCAGAATATTTTTCCATTATACCACTGGATGATATTTGTAGTGATCAAAAAGCTGCATTGCCCTGTCCAGTGGTTAGCATAAATGGCTCTGCTTTTTAGTTAGCCTAATTTTGTTTTTGTAGAGTAGTTTGTAGGTGAACCTTGTAAGATCTCAGTTAGGTTGTGTTCATTTAGGTTAGGGCTCTTGGGTGTTTTAGAAAGCAAATGAATTCTTTTATTTCTCTTAATAGAAATTACTTTATGCTGTCACAAAAAGTAGCAAAGATTGGCTCAGGTCTAATGTTATAGGGCCATCACTGGATTTACGGCAAGCTTTGGCATGGGTGTGAGACAGCTCTGCAATAGCTAAAAACATCTTTGGTAATTGTATTAATGCTTAAACGACTGCCCAGTATTTACATCATGCAGACATAGCAATCTGTTGGAGAGAGCTGCATGCCAAAGGCCATATGACCTGAACATCTGCACATGTCTAGAACTACTAATCTTTGTGTATCCTGCAGGCTGATGTTTCTTGAAAAGGATCAGGTTGATTCCGTGTATTGACTTGCACTTATGCATTGTGCCAGCCTTTCTTTGCTCCCAGGAGCACAGGGGGAAAGAGCTATTGGATGTAAATTAGTACCGTCAGACAAGCTGTGCAGCCTAACTTCAGCTGTTTTCTGGAAACAGGATGGATGAATTGTTCAGCTAGCAGTAGTGTCCTCCTGTGGGCCCTCCTTTGTCGCCCTCCTTGACTAACTAGGATTGTGATTTGCCTCACTCGCGTGCCAAGAGAGGGGCCCTCCTGGAAATCAGTAACTAGAGCAGTCTGCTGTCCAAACCTACCTAGGAGTTGCTGTCCAACAACTCATACCTTGCTTCCAAATTGCCTTTGAGAAAGTAATACTGCTGCTGGTATGAACGTTTTTAGTTGATATATATTATAGCTTGAAAAAACATCCTCTGAAAAGAGTATAAGGTGCATGGTTTAATTCCAGAGTTAAGTTTAATGTATTTTCAGTTGTAACAGGACTAGGAGGCTATAGTATATTATAATTTCTCTAAACTGTTTTTGAAACTATTTAAACTTAGTCTGTCAAGCTTGTAGGTAAAGGCTTGCAGCATAAATCTGATGGATTTTTAATGCTTTCTCTAGGGTGATCTTCATAGAAGCTACCAAAGACTACATAGAATTCATTTTAGGCAAAATAAGGGAAAGGAAGTTGTTTTGATCAAGTAAAATGGATCCTTGTTCAGTTGGAATTCAGCTTCAAGCTACCAATGAATGTCATAAGACCTACTATACTCGTCACACTGGTTTCAAGACTAAGCAAGATATATCTTCGTCTGACCTACTGCTACTTCAGCTTAGGACTGGAATGACCCTTTCAGAGAGCAATACAATCTGCTTCCATCATGCAAAAATTTACATTGAAAGATTTGAAGACTTGCAAAAATCATGCTGTGATCCCTTTAATATACACAGAAAACTTTCAAAGAAAAACTTACGTGCAATTGATTTAGATGATGCAACTTTTCTAAGTGCCAAGTTTGGAAGGCAGTTTGTACCTGGTTGGAAGCTTTGTCCCAAATGCATGCAGATAATAAATGGAAGCGTGGATGTTGAATCTGAAGATCGCCAAAGAAGAAAACTTGATTCAGATGTATGTATATGGATCTGTTTTTCACCCCCTCTAAATTCTATAAGCTATTGGAATTGGGCTTCATTTAAGTTCTACATAATGAAATGAACTTTTTTTTTTTTTAAGAGAAATATAAAAGAGTATAGCCTTTTAAATGTCTCTGTTTTAAATGCTCACTGTATTTAAACCTTTATTTGAAAGACTGTTCAGCTGAGCGCCTTTTCAAAGTGTATGCACACATTGAACTTTTCACCTTTAAAAATAATCCTGTTCCCTAATTAAATATTAAGGTCTTTTTAATTCAAGTGATTGTACTAGGGTGATTTACTCCTCTAAGTCTATGTAAATACCAGACTGCTGCCTAGCATTTATTTAAACTTATTTTTCAGGCCTAGCAAAAGATAAGCTTGTGTGCTTAAAACTGAACATTGCAAAGGTTGCTTCTAAGGATGTAGAGATACACTGCTGTCTTGGTCTCTTCAGTTTAAAAATAAACCATCTCTAGCAGTTTGTTACCAAGTAAACCTGCACTGAGGTGAATTAAATGTACTGTGTGGTGTCTGAGCTGCGAAGGCCATGGCCTTTGTTCAGGGGCGGTAATGAACTAGCGTGGGAGAAAGATTCTTCAAGTGCTGAGTTTGGAATACAGTTTGTACATTGTTGGGCGCTTTGTTCAAGATGGTTGCAGATAATCAATAGAAGTTTGGACAATCAGATCAACAAGAGCTCATGCATATATGCCCTGTGGTATAACAGAAATGCAATCTAGAAGCAACTACCCTTTCAGCCCAGAAGCAGCCACATGACTATTTTTTGGATGACATGTCAGCATGATTTGGAGACTGATAGGGTGTGAAGCTGAAATTTGAAAGTACGAATCCATTACAGCTGCTATTCTAAAGCTTGTACTGTTGGTTTTTGAGACTTAAATTGTTTCTGCTAGGAGATTCAGTGCAGAGTTGAGATCAACAATTTACCTCAGTTGTTCCAAAAGCCAGGCTTGATAGGCCATTTCCTTATGGATATAGGTTGATGTTCATATTCAAATGATATTTTCTGTTCCTGTTCAGGGGCGTACAGCTAAGGCTTTGAAGTCTCTGCAGTTTGCTAATCCGGGACGACAGACTGAGTTCACTCCTGAGACCAGTAAAAGGGAAAAAAGAAGGCTGCAAACAAAAAGTACATCATTTAATTCAGACAGGTAGGCTTCCATTATTTACATTATTATCTTTCTTGTCTTTCATTTTGAGATAGTGTAGCTTTGACAATCAACGTCCCTGTAAGGCTAACATTTTCTGTATAGAATATATTTTGCTTATATGGTTTTGGTTTTATTTTGTTTTTGAAAGACAGCAATGAGTAAACTAAACTGCTGCTACAACTCGCGTGCATTGTTGAGGAAAACAGAACAGAAGGTTAAAAAAGAATACAGTCCATATTTCAATCAGTTAAAATAAGAACAAGTATTTGGTAAGGTGTGGCAATACTACACAGCAGACCATAGATGAAGCTATCAATTTGTGTAAACTAGAAATCCAATAATAATTAAACTTGAATAGAGTAAGAACAAAGTAGAGTAGACTTAATATTGATGGGAGCTGTCATCTTTCAGTAACCTCAGAAACAAAAGTGTGTAAGTTAGGATGAACCTTACCTTCTTTAAAAGGAGGTGAGTAAACTGTTGTCAAACATGCTGTGCCATGCTGGATGACAAGTTAAGCTTTTCTCATGTGGCTAACTTCAAAGTCAGGTATCCTACACAGAGGAGGGGTTTATGCAGCTGAGTTTTGTGTTTTTTTCCAGTTAAGTTTTGGACCAAATCAATGTTAACCAAATTTGAGGGGGATAAAAATCTCAGTTGTAACTAGTCCTAGAACTTATGAAAATCATGCAGAAAGATATTAGTTCCTTTCCCCTGCTCTCTGCCTGAAGTTTCACCTTACAAGACAGCAACCAGACAACACTACCTGTGCTGCTCACAAAACTACTTATCCCTTCCGCTTCCATTTCTTTCTTCTACTCAATGTGGACACAAGTTGCAGCTAGGGAAATTCTTGTAAGATGTCAGGAAAACTTTTTTTCAGGTTGCATGTAGTCAAGCGCTGGATCAAAGATGTTCTGGAACCTCTGACCTTAGAGCTGTTCAGAACTTGACAAGGCCCCAAACAACCTAATCTAAGTTGGGCTGACTTTGGACAGAGGGTCAGACAAGATGACTTCCAGAGGTCCCTCCTAACCAGACTTTTTCCTATGATTCTGTAGTTTAGCAGAGCTGTAACAGATGAGTAATGAGTAAAGCATAAAGAGTATTTTTTAATTATCATGTGCACCCTGAATGATTCTACATAACCTCCTTTAAACTGCAACTATACATGTTACAAGAGATAGAGGTAAATAAAGGCAGATTCTCACATCATAATCTGAAAGGTAATGTAGAGTCAAATTTGCGTCATAAATAAGAAGAATATCCAAAAATGGTTGAATAAGTAAGTGATCATGCTGTTAAAGAAATTAAAACTTTCTCATTCTTGAAGTGAGTTCTAACGCACTACAACAGTAAAGATATGATTTAGGAGAGGGAATGGTTGTTGCATATGGTAACATATGTACATCTTTTAGACTCATTAAATTAACACCTGAAAAAAGCAAACTTCTGTCTACAACTATTAACCACTTGATACCAAAATAGATGGATTTTTGAATGTGGAAATAACTGTTATTTTTCATTATGCAGACAAGTTATACCAGCAAAGAGTAAAGTCTATGATAGCCAGGGACTCCTCCTTTACAGTGGAATGGATCTCTGCGATTGTCTTGATGAAGATTGCCTGGGCTGTTTCTATGCTTGTCCCAAGTGTGGTTCCAACAAGTGCGGAGCTGAATGTCGCTGTGACCGCAAGTGGCTATATGAGCAAATTGAGATAGAAGGAGGAGAAATCATTCGCAATAAGCATGTGGGTTAGTGTAATATGCATTATTTACCCTGATTATGTGTTCCAGGCTTTGATTAAACACAGCACATTTATCACTTAGAGCTTAATTAAAGCCGTTGGAATTTATCATGATGCACGCGATCAATGCTCTCACTTTAATATTCATTTTCAATATGATTATGGAAATATTCATTATCATACTGATATCTTGTCACACCTCATTCTACCTTGTAGTCAGTCTTGTTAGTCGTATGAATAAGTTCTCATTAAACAGTCTTGCATTATACTGAAGTATAAAGTGCTGAAGTCTTATGTGACGTTCTTAGCCACTCACCACCATTCCATACACTGTTTTGCAGAACATACCATCTCCACGCATCCCTCATTTATCCTTCTCTATTTCAGAATCTCATGGTTTTGATTGTTTTCTTTATGTGAAACAATTCTCTATTGTAAATTCTTCATGAAATTACGTACAATATTAATAATAAAGTTTTCTGCAGTATTAATAGTGAATGTATTTTCTATAGAATATGCCAGCTACATCTGATAAATTCAATCCATGTAACTTACTGGATTCAAAAGTATTTAGGAGTTCAGATCCTGTCCAAGTTACTGAGATTTAGATCAAGTTCTCTACAGGAATTCAAGCCTCACTGTTACAGTGTTACTGGATTGTCAAGGCACTGAGAAATATTTCAAAGTATTTCATTGTGGTACAGTGTTTAGCTGTTTTTTCTATAATGCAATTGAAATAATTGTTATATTTGTAATTGGTGTGTAACTGAACTGTAACTTCAGCAGTCGTATCTCCTTTTTTATTTTTGCTTGTTTTTAACGTAAGGGCTTACGTGCAGCTGAAGAGAGTTCAGATGTCTGTTTCCAAGCTAAGGCTATCCAGACCTGTACAAAAACAGTTGGATTGAGATTATTTTTGGTTGACATAATATTCATCCTCAGAAAATTAAGATCTTAACAACATAGCAAAATTCAAGGAAAAGAGTTCATCATTGAAATACGAGTAACATTAAATGCTATTCCCTGGCATTTTGTTGTTGTTGTGGATGTGACAGAGTCGCAAGATCTACCTGTAATCTTGGATCACATTTATTCAAGGGTGCTGTTAACTATCGCCTTCTGAAGGCTTTAATTTGATAAAGTTGTATAATTTTACTATTTAGAGTATTTTCTTTTTCTGGTAAATGATGTGAAGGAGGTTGTGTTTGTAAAACCCAAAGTTGTGCTTTGAGTTGTACTGACATCTGCTGGTCCTAGTGAAGTATAAGCATCGACTTAGGACTCATATATGCTACGTTTCTGTTAGACTTTCTTTGAAATTAAACAGACTGTCGTCTTTGATCAGAGCAATGGCTCTTCTTCCAATATGTGCCTCTCTTATTAGCCCTGGATTCCAGTCACATTTATCACAGGAGTCTTTTTTAAACAGTAGCATGCTGTTTACACTCTTTTCCGGATGGCTTTCTTACAAGTGACATTTAACGCATTGCATTGTGTTGACTACAGCGTGTGTTTATTTTGACACAGCAATTAGTAGCTGGTGTGTTTTGTCCCTGTTTGGGACTGTTTCAGCTCTTAAGCAACCTTTTGAATTAGATGAAAAAAGAAATCTCCACTTCTCTATCTACATCAGAGTGAAGAAGAGAAAGCTGGTCTAATCTCGAGTCAGCAGTACCCACTGTTAATAAGCATAACAGACTTCTAACTTTGACTGTAACTTATCACCTAAGCCTAAAATTAGACTTCGGATTCAGTAAATGTTTAAATGTTTCAAAGTGAAATGCAAGTAGTTTATATTTTCTAGAGCATCACAGTATTAGACTTGTACCACTATATCTCCAATAAATCTCTAAAGTTAAGGCCGAATAATTAAGGCTGAATTAAACTGAATAGTCTTTCAGTTTACAAATTCAGTAGTAATTACGGAGTTTCCCAAATAAATCACTCAAGTTCTTCTCAAACAAAATGCATAGGGCTACTGTTTGACGGAAAACCTGTTCTAAATACTGGGTACTATTGATTGCTGTACATAAGGCTTAGTTTATTTCTGTATAACAGGATTTTTTGGTGATGGTCGTTGTTCAGATCTGTTAGTTACGTATGTAGGAAGTCAGCTGACCTGTTTTATTCTCTTAGCTTAAGAAATACTATTAACAAGGCCTGTGTACCGTAAGTTTCTTCAGCTATTAGAGGTCTAGTTGTAGTAGATCTGAAGTCCCTTCATTTCATCCCGGTGCAAAGAGCAAACATCCACAAGCAGAAATGAAGAACTTCAGCTTTCAAGTAGGTGGTTTATATTAGATGGGAACAGGCACACAAACCCAAGCAGTTCCCTCTTAGTTTACTGGTGAGGTCTGTCATCTTCCTTTCAGGTCTTATCCTCTAGACCCTTGGAAATTTGAAGGAATCCCTAGAACTAAAGGTCTAATCTACACATGTTAAAGCTGGAAAGAAAGGAAAGCACATCTGTCCTTCCTCGTACAGCAGTAGTACTGTCAGACTCATCCTTGTGAGTGCAAGAAATGCAGCAAGGGTGAGGGGGAAAAATAAAGCAGGAAAACTACGTGATTATTGCTGTCTAGTGCCTGTTATCTTCCCCAGCTTGCAATAGTGACTGCAGTTAAGTACTGCCAAGTTCACCTTTCCTTCCCACTTCATGCTTGTCTTGCAACAATCCCATCAATATTATTTTTGCTGGTATACTCAAATTGCCTGTTAGTTGAGAGACTGGGAGATAAATGGTTGATACAGAATGAAAAGCTAATATTTTTAGAAACAGAAGAATCCTTCCCTGGGAAAACTGACAGCAAAGTCCCATAGCCTCTGTGGGCTGATTGAAATGGTATCTCACCAAGCAAGCTACTTCTATAGCATTTCCTTTTAGAAATGGAAGCTCAGATGTTGCAATGTATAGAAGATGGCACTAGGGCTCTTAGAGTAAGTAGAGCAAGATGATGACACATCATGTTTTTCAAGATACTGTTGTACAAAGGTGAGGTGTCAGGAAAACAGGGCTGGCCATTAAAAAAAAACAGACATGTAATATATCTATCTAAACAGGATTATAGTAAAGATCGTGGTCTCATTTGCACACTGTCCTCAAGTGGCGTTAAATTCACATTTCGCCCTTACGTTATGGCAAAAAGTTTCCTATCAAGATGATACCACATACTTGCCAGTGCGAGTCAGTGTGAACCCCATTTCCCCCAACAGTGCTAGGTGGACTAAGCTTACATCTGCGATTCATGAAACTCCCAATTCCTGTCTCCCAAAACTCAATAAGTAGACTGATTGTGTTGAAAAGGGCCTCAAGATCATCCGGTCCACACACCAGTTCAAAGCAGGACTGATTGTTGTATCAGGTTGCCCAAAGCCATAATATATTGCTCAGGTTCTTACCAGAGCCATTCCTGTTTGTTAAGCACCCCACTCAGAGCAGGCATCTAATCCAAAGTTACTAGAGTGTTGAAAGAAAAAGAATAATGGTAATGGTTAACCAAGTCATGCATATTTCTGGACCAATTTAGACAGGATGACAGAAAGCAGTCTGACATGTAGACAAACTGAATTATGACACTAATTATTTGATTATACCCCTAAACAATAGTCAGGCCCACAGATTTTAGTTCATCTAATTGTGATGTAAATGTTTCTTCTTAGGTACGTGTTCTGCCCAAGTTTGCAGGGTTCAGGCAAGATTACTACACATCTTTGACAGTTGCCGCAAAAGTTAGATTAATAGCCAGTTTACCATATATTGGTATCCAGTGTAGCCATCTTCATTATATACTTAATGGGAATGTACATTGCCATTTTCTTGGTGCCTGCTATTGTTTGGTTCTTTTGTGTTTAAAAAAAAAATTAAGCTGAATTGGATAAATGTTAGTTTCCACACCACGTTTTATTTGGCTGTTAAAGCAAACTTTAGCTTTACATGCACAGTGTGACTGAAATAACTGTTTAAATAATCATCTTTATGGTGCTTGGAATTCATGTCTGACAACTTTTTAAGTTAATACAATTCATTGTAAAGCAGGTAGATTCTAACCAGAGCATATTTCCTTAATAAGTCTAGGTTATAGTGTGTCATTAAGTTGAATAATATGCTTTTATACACTTCCATGTCTTCCTCCTCTGTTTTTCCAATTGAAAGATGAGTTTTTTCAAGTCAAACTTTACCATTCTGCGAGGTTTAAAATGTTTACAGCTATGAATTTCTTGGATTTTTTTTCTGTATATTTTTATAAAGTTAAACACTACACAATCTTACCTCCTCATCATAACAAACTATTTTTATCGCCATCCCAAAGTAAGTGCATGTTGTTCATACATAGTCCCCAATCTTTTTGTATTATTCTACAGCTAAGCCTCTTAAACATTGTTCTTTTGAATATAGCCAAAGGGAGCAACTATTTTCCATAAAAGCTAAAGTTTATGAAACTACTATAACCACTTTAAAATCTGCAGTTGGCTTTTCTTTGATGCATGTAGACATACCCCAGTTACTGTGTTAAAACTTATGCCTCATGGTATTGCAAAAATTAATGTCTCAAAAAAAAATCTTACATATTCAAAAGAAGGAAATCAATGACAATGAAAATGTATTTTGTGAATAATATATACCTCTTGGATCAAATGAGTTTATTAAACACAGGTTCCAGATGTGTGATCTCTTAAGTACAGTGTTAAATGCTATTTTTGGTTTCTTTCTCACACAAATTTAAAATAGAAAGTCAAATAAAAGCCCGCAGGATTCCTCCTATTGACACCAGTCAGCCTTGCATCAAAACCTTGCAGTCATATCTAAGATATGATGTGCCCTATTTTTTCTTGGTGGAGTTGAAGGTTTCAAGCAGTGATAAAACATTCCCTGGGATGCTCCCTGTTAAAGACCCAAAAAGCAATCCCTATGTACAGTGTATTCAGGTGATTAACTCAAAGCAGGCATTTTATTGACACTTCCAGTATCTATGCTACTAAAAGGCATTTATCTCTGGGAAAGGTTGT